TATATATATAGTAGGATAACAATAATGGAGACCAAAAATACAGTGACAAGATGCCGTTTTGAGCTAGGTCGTAATTCCATGAAGAAATTGTGCCATTATTAGATATTATGCTTTGTGAAGAGCTCCACGTCAAGGTAAACCGGACATTTTAAAGCCGCCCTGTGGGACAAAAGACACCCACCGCCTCCATTCCTGCTGGGACTGCACCTTTGAGTCATAGAAGTGCATACCTGCACAATAACATGTGGGTGGGCCCAGCGGGAATTCAAACCTTAAAGTGCATCCTCACAATGCACCTATATATAGATCAAGCTGCACCTCAACCACAGCGAGGAGGCTTCCACAACTTTACTTTGACATGATTTAAATGAGCCATTGTCTTAATGTGTTGAGCTCAGGACTGTGTGCAAAGGACTTATGCTAATGAGTTATTTTAAAGTGTAAATAGGAAATTAAACGCACACCAAATCTTCGAAAGGTCGGACAGCCTCACCCTTCTCCCTTTGATGAGAGTGTATTTAGTCAGACAGACACTGCTTTCATGGAAATCCGGGGTGAACTCCCCCCACCCCGTTCCTCAGAACAAACTAATTAAAACTAGCCAAACTTGTGCGGGTATCAGAAAATTAATTGCTATTAAGTGGGAATTGGAATGTCCCACCATTCATCACTGGAGAAATCCTTTCTTCTGTGTCACTTTTTAAGATTAATAGACTGAAACAAAACAATTAGGGCCAAATTTCAGTGAAGAGATGCGATACCTCCTCACTTAAAAATCGCCTGTGATCATTGCCAGTAATAACTCATCATGTTTCAGCAACGTGTGTTCATGAGACGCGAAAAAAAAATTAACACTTTAAAGCTTTGGTGAATATTAAGAAGAAGAAGAAGAAAAAAAAGGACATAAAGAGCAAAGTCTATCACTGATAATCTGGGCTACCATGAAGCTATTTTAGTCTATTCCAAATTAGCGTAATTACCTTCAGAGAGAGTTGTGCTAATGAAACAATGGGCCTGTCCTGCCTATTTGTGCTTTAATGGTCTATTGTCTCCAGTAGTACTGCCTAATTAGCACCATAGCACTCATACATCACTATGACTGAAGTCTACACTACACTCTAATGTTTACTTGTGGCCTCTATTAGCTAATCTCTAGGCTGTTTCTCTGTTAATAGGAAACTGTTCTTCTTCTAAACAGGTTTGATTTTAGCATTTAAGCATTTTTAAGCACSAGTGTTGCTTTTTAAACCGACTAAATGCAGCTTATTTATTTTCTTACGCCTAATCACATTTAGACAGCATACACATTTAAAAACACATAACAACACATTTATTTGCAACTGTCAGCAAATATTGTGTTTTTTATGTGTTTGTCAACAACATAWAATATTGTATGTGTTTTCATGGAGACGAAATTGTGAAAAATGCAATACGCTTTTGAACATTAAAAGTCCTTGTTCTTTAGCTGTTTATAATTACATTCAGCTGTTTAGTAAACTCTTCATTAAATATTAATAAAACATCTGTGCTTGCAAAAATAGCACGAGTTTTTTTCTCTATGTAGTACATTATTTTCCCCATAAAAAAATTTAAACCCTTTTTTTGTGACAAAAATGATGGTTTATTGTGCTGTTTTTATATCTCCAGAGTCTAGTTTTACAGCGCTCAAAAGTACAACTTGGGCCGTCTCTTGTTCTTTCTCGAACCCCCACCTTTCCTTGGTGCRCAGCTAAAAGCTCAACCCCAGTTTTGGCTCCAACTTTTATTTCCACCTCGTCATTCTGGCCCATCTGAACCCTCCCCGGCCCTCAAAATTAATGACRCGACGCGTAACCAGCCATGCCGTCCATAAATCAAGAGGAAATTAGAGGGACAGTCCTGCTACGAGCCAGGACGCTTCTCTCTCTGTCTCCCTGGTTGGCCGATTTATCATTTGGGCTGTGCATTAATAAACACCAGTCCCATGAGGCTTTGCAGCAATGGCACACAGACCCCTTCTCCCAAGCTAGCCCCCMCTCTCCCAGCCACACTCTCCCAATTTTTCACGTGAATTCTACTACTCACACTTACTGAAATGTTGCTTGTTTAGAGTAATWATTTARATTTTTATTATTATTACTATTATTATTATTATTATTTGATGTGGGGATTTGTGGAAGGCTATCTTTCCTGTTGTAGATAGCTGTTTAAACAACCTTGGTTGGGAGAAATAAAATGTMATTTTTACCAACATAATGAGCTAATGGCAAGTCAATGAAAGGCTGAATTTCTGCAGTCTTAAAAATATCTTAAATCTCAACWATTCTTTAAAGTTTGACCAATTTGGGTGTCAGCAGTTTTGTGTTACACAAATATTGTCCACCATCACGGAGAAAAGAGGGGCACCGGAAATACCCTCTATCATCCATCTTGTGTGCTTGATAACTTGAAAAATAAGGGATGTACTGACCTTCCATTTTAGTTCGTGGCAGAAGATAGATTCCTATCAAAAACTGGGTCGCCATATTAAAATCCAAGATGGCTGTTGCCATGTAAACCAACCACCCAGATCATTTGAGGGAACTTTGTTTTCTGGTTTTTATATTTCTTAAAACTATAGTTTCCACAGATGATTGTGGTGACCGGTGAGGTGGCCAAAGGTTAATCTACTGGCCACCYGCAGGCTCCACCATTGGGCCTGGTGATGGATTAAAAAGCTCCCTCCACTTGTCACAATCCACTTTTGTCTCAAATTAGAAAGAATTTGTGCAGAAGGGTTATTTTGTTGATGAACTTCAGTTCAGTTAAATTTTTAACAACATCCCAAAGGGAAATTGGTTTCCAACTGGCAATATAAATACAAAAAAACTCAAAGAACGCATCCCTAAAAGACATCTCAGTCATTCTGTTACACAGTTACAAATATCAGGAGAATAATATGTGCTACCATTCCCAAATGCTGAAAGCACATGATAAACTAGAGGCATTATATGTATTGCATTAAAGTGTGTAATGCTATCTAAATTATGAAAGATATAAAATATGTGTTATTTCCAAAACCTAAACGTAGTCTAGTCTAGATCAATTCAGTTTAGGTTAGGGAAATTCAACTCAGCAATGGCAACAGGAAYGAARGAAATCCYCCCACGCCAGGTTCTAATCTTAGGCGTTCTAAAGTGGCAGCCAGATGGAAGAAGCTCAAACTCACTATAAAGTGGATGTTCAGGACAGTTAACAACATGTTCAGCCTTAGTTCTCACTCGCTTACAGTTTTGACTGTATTCTAGAGCTGGGCTTGCTGCACGCCTGTTATCCTGCTACGTTAGTTAGCTTCATCAACCTATTTTTATTAGACAGAGAAGGAAAACCAAACCAAGCTACACATCAATAAGAAAGGACAAATTCAATRAAATACTGATAAGATAGAGTCATCAATAAATTACTAACTTTAAAAAAAAAGAGGCACTGCTGGACCTTTTCACACACTACATCCATATTTGATTCAAAACTCATCTTGTTATCARTAATAGTTCCCAAGTATTTATACTCCGTTACGTTTCAACTTCCGCTCCAAGGAGTTCTGCTTGGTTGGGATTTACAAAAGTCAATGGACATATTTTTAGTTTTGGATACATAAATTAATTACACCATGTTACAAAGTCCTCTACTACAGCACCATGCTCAGTTTCATCATATAAAAGACCTGTTATAACAGTGTTGTCTGCTCATTTCAAAATATGCCTCGTGGATACTCCCACAGGAGTTTGTGTAATAAGTGAATAAGTGAAAAGTCGTACATGCAGAGTATCTCACGTGAAAAACTACGTTGTATGTTAGCTTCGTGTGGGCTTTACTTGCAGATGAAAAAGCATGCCCCTTCCTGCAGTGACAATGTAAAGAAGGTGCTGCTCTCCATACAGCCTCGTGCTGCAGATACAGCTCAGGCTGACATATGCCAGAACACCACCACAGCAGCATCCGCGCACACACACACACACTCACATCCGCACACTCTGATTACCATGTGAATGGAGCACTCTGTAATCGCTGAATGTGTCAAACGAGAGATAGAGCATTTACGTTTCAGGAGACGGATGGATTGAGGGGGACGTAAAGATGGGGGAGGGTGGGGGTGGGGGGTATCGTGGCTGTGCAAGCTGCCTTTATGAAATAACTCAAAATGTTTTATTTCCAAGTCTTGAGTCACAAAGTCATTGTGTCAGTTCACGCACAAAGCACGACATCCCCTCAGCGTTCGCCCCCCCCTTTCCGTCGTCCCCCTATTTTTCTCTGTCTTGTTTGTGACATCTCTATGTGAAAAGACAACAAAAGTCATGTTTTAATCTCTACCCGTGGCTCATTGTACGTGCAGAGAGAATGGCTGTGCTGTTTCCGCCTTTTACCTTTTCAAACCCTTCTTTTGGTATTTCCAGTCAACACTGATTGCATTTGAATAACGAGTCAAATTGGACTTGATTAAATATTACCATACACAGTCAGAGCATTTTTCCAACATAAAAGGCATGTTTTCTCATAGATGAAATGCAAGCAGTGCATCAAGTGACAGCTGAACACTCACTAAGATGAGCCTTTTGTCTGATGATTGACAAAAGTGTCATCTGTTAGGGTTTGATTGGGTTGCAGTTTGGATGAAGTCAAATAGAAAATGATGTGAACAAAACAAGCAAATGCTCTTGTTTTATGTTTTTATAATTTAACCTGTGCTCCATGTGTCAAAAAACCTCACTATACAATAGAATGGAATAARGAAAGTTCACAGCTGTTCACGTTGAGTCTTTTATGTTCACTACAACAATTTCTTCTTCATGAAWCTTTTTGTCCCGCAGGCTCTCGTTTCCCAAGCCCAAGGCTCCCGGTACGGCCCAGCAGGAAGCGCCCCCTGCCCATCTCGCCACTCTCCGATCACAGCCTTGACCTGCAGAACATGATCCGCAACTCGCCCACCTCCATCGTCAACCTGATTAACAACTCCCGCTCCAGCTCCTCCACCAGTGGCTCCTATGGTCACCTCTCCGCTAGAGCCATCAGGTAAGGTTTAGAACAACAGAGATAGATGTGAAGCTCGTGTGGAATCCACTGTGGTTACATCCAGATTTTATTTTGAGTCATTGCTGGGAACCTGGAAGGATAAAGGCTTATATTCAAACTTAACATGCAGTAGTAAATGGCACAAGGGTGGCCAAGTTATTTTTATGGGGCACATACAAATAAAGATAAGCACTCTAGATTTGAAAATTCAAGATGGTYGCCACAGCTAATTWAAAATTTAGCTRTTTTAAGAAAWATWGAGCAGAAACTTTGYGTGATCATAAAGAATGATCCCAAAAACATGCTGAATGCTGGTCACAACTCAGCCGTTTTTAGACACACAAAGCTGAAGATTAGTGCAGAAATAGCCAACAACAATTTTTACCCAATTCTAGCTAACGTTAATTAGGATGCACAATATATATCGTATCGGTCCGGTATGTAAAACTGGGCCRATATTAACATCCGATATTGATTTCCCACTTTTTAGTTTTGTGTTTCTGTTTTAGGAGGGGAGGTGGTTGGTTGAGCAGCATCTGTTTGATCATGATAATGATATTAATGCTGAGCAGCCAGGAATAACTGAAGTAGAGAGCCATATCAGAGATCTGGTCATTTATTTACCATATCAAAATTAGATACCGCATAGCGGTAACATAATGACCCCCCGCACGCACAAATGCACCAGAACTCAGATGACTTTATTCCTAATAAATGTCATGGTACTAGATGCATCCCAAAACTGTAGTGGTTTGGGTGGAGGTCTTTTTTTTGGGTGGGGGGGGGTTGACCTGATGGATAGCCCCTCATCAAAGCTAAACAACCAATGAAAATCTGAAGCTCCTATGCTGAACAGTTTCTGAGTTATAAGC